CTATGTTGATCAGGGATATTGGTCTGTAATTTTCTTTTTTTGTGGTGTCTTTGCCTGGATTTGGTATTAGAGTGATGCTGGCTTCATAGAATGAGTTTGGAAGTGCTTCCTCTTCTATTTTTTGGAAAACCAAAAGGGGAATGGGTATTATGTCTCTTCTAAATGTCTGATAAAATTCAGCCGTGAAGCCGTCTGGTCTGGGGGTTTTGTTCTTGGGTAGTTTTTTGATTACTGATTCAATTTCATTGTTGATAATTGGTCTGTTTAGATTTTCTGTTTCTTCCTTGGTCAGTCCTGGAGGGTTTTATTTTTGTAGAAAGTTGTCCATTTCTTCTAGGTTATCCAGCTTGTTAGCATATAGATTTTCATAGTATTCTCTAATAATTCTTTGTATTTCTGTGGTGTCCGTTGTGATTTTTCCCTTCTCATATCTGATTCTTTTTATGTGTGTAGATTCTCTTTTTCTCTTAATAAGTCTGGCCAGGGGTTTATCTGTTTTGTTTATTTTCTCCAAGAACCAGCTCTTGGTGTCATTGATTTTTTCTATTGTTTTATTCTTCTCAATTTTATTTATTTCTTCTCTGATCTTTACTATGTCCCTCCTTCTGCTGACTTTGGGCCTCATTTGTTCTTCTTTTTCCAGTTTCAATAATTGTGACTTTAGACTCTTCATTTGGGATTGTTCTTCCTTGTTTAAATAGGCCTGGATTGCTATATACCTTCCTCTTAGAACTCTTTTTGGTGCATCCCTTGGAAGTCGGGGCATTGTGCTGTTGTTATTTGTCTCCATGTATTGCTTGATCTCTGTTTTAAATTGGTCATTGAACCATTGATTATTTAGGAGTATGTTGTTAAGGCTCCATGTGTTTGTGAGGCTTTGTCCAAGTTATTTCTAATTTTATACCTTTGTGATCTGGAAAGTTGGTTGGTAGAATTTCAGTCTTTTTGAATTACGGAGGCTCTTTTTGTTGCCTAGTATGTAGTCTGTTCTGGAAAATGTTCAATGTGCATTTGAGAAGAATGTGTATCCTGCTGCTTTTGGGTGTAGAGTTCTGTAGATGTCTGTTAGGCCCATCTGTTTTAGTGTGTTGCTCAGTGCCTCTGTGTCCTTACTTATTGTCTGTGTGGTTGATCTGTCCTTTGGAGTGAGTGGTGTGTTGAAGTCTCTTAAAATGAATGCATTGCATTCTGTTTCCTCTTTTAATTCTGTTAGTATTTGTTTAACATATGTTGGTGCTCTTGTGTTGGGTGCATCGATATTTATAATGGTTATATCCTCTTGTTGGACTGAGCCCTTTATCATTATGTAATGTCCTTCTTTAAATATTGTTACTTTCTTTGTTTTGAAGTCTATTTTGTCTGATACAAGTACTGCAGCACCTGCTTTCTTCTCTCTGTTGTTTGCCTGAAATATCTTTTTCCATTCCTTCCGTTTTAGTCTGTGTATGTCTTTGGGTTTGAGGTGAGTCTCTTGTAAGCAGCATATAGATGGGTCTTGCTTTTTATCCTTTGTATTACTCTGTGTCTTTTGATTGGTGCATTCAGTCCATTTACATATGATTATCTATATGTATGTACTTATTGCCTTTGCAGGCTTTGTGTTTGTGGTTACCAAATGTTCAAGGGTAGCTTCTTTGCTATCTAACCACGTTACTTTAACTCTCTTATTACGCTATTATAAATACAGCCTGATGATCCTTTATTTCTCTCCCTTCTTATTCTTCCTCCTCTACTCTTTATATGTTAGGTGTTTTATTCTGTACTCTTTTGTGTTTCCCTTGACTGCTTTTGTGGATAGCTGATTTTATTTTTTACCTTAAGTTTGTTTTGTCTGCTTTCTTTGCTGTGATTTTTTTTTCTCTGGTGACAACTATATAGCCTTAGGAGTACTTCCATCCAGAGCAGTCCTATAAAATACCCAGTAGAAGTGGTTTGTGGGAGGCAAATTCCCTCAACTTTTGCTCATCTGGAAATTCTTTAATCCCTCCTTCAAATTTAAATGATAATCTTGCTGGATACAGCATTCTTGATTCAAGGACCTTCTGTTTCATTGTATTGAATATATCATCCCATTCTCTTCTGGCCTGCAATATTTCTGTATAGAAGTTTGATGATAGCCTGATGGGTTTTCCTTTGTAGGTGATCTTTTCTTCTGTCTGTGACTGCTTTTACTACCCTGTCCTTGTCTTTTATGTTTGCCATTTTAATCATTATATGTCTTGGTGTTGTCCTCCTAGAGTCCCTTGTGTTTGGAGATCTGTGGGCTTCCATGGTCTGAGGGACTATTTCCTGCCCCAGCTTGGGGAAGTTTTCAGCAATTATTTCTTCAAAGACAGTTTCTATCACTTTTTCTCTCTCTTCTTCTTCTGGTACCCCTATTATGTGAATATTGTTTTGTTTGAATTGGTCACACAGTTCTCTTAATATTCTTTCATTCCTGGAGATCCTTTTATCTCTCTCTGCCTCAGCTTCTCTGTATTCCTGTTCTCTGATTTCTATTCCATTAACAGTCTCTTGCGCTTCATCCAGTCTGCTCTTAAGTCCTTCTATTGATTGTTTCATTTCTGTTATCTCCCTCGGGACTTCATCCCTTAGCTCTTGCATGTTTCTGTGCAGCTCCATCAGCATGGTTATGACTTTTATTTTGAATTCTTTTTCAGGAAGATTGGTTATATCTATCTCACCATGCCCTCTCTCTCGGATTGTTTGAGTTATTTTGGACTGTATCAGGCTCTTCTGCCTTTTCATGTGGTAGAAATGATTGCCGGCAGGTGGTGCATTTGTCAGGTGGGAGAAAAAAGTCCCTTCCTTCTTGCTGGTTGCCTTGCCCATTTCTGCTGCCTGTGCCAGTTTCCCGCTCACAGGGAGCTGTCTCTGGGATAATCTCCTCACCTGCCATGGTCGGTGCAGCCCTCGGGATAGCCTAGAACACTGCAGGGGGTCGCAGACTTGCCATGTGTGTTTTCCAGTGAGAATTGCGCCCTGTCTTGCCTTCCGGACCTTCCTCCGGCTTCCTCTGTCTGTTCCAGGCATCTGTGCCCCACTGGCTGCCTCTGGGTCTGTCCCGTTTAGCTGCGCGGTGGGAGAAGACTGTGTGTGGTTGCTGTGGGCGGGCTTTTTCCCTGGCTGCTCTGCAGCTGTGGTGGGCCAGCCGGTGTGCTTGCAGCGCCGGCTGGGGGCTTATGAATGGCAGGGTTCTTATCACTGTGAGCAGCTTTGGAACTGCGTTACCACCAAGGGGTTTAGGGCAACTAACGTTCCTTAAGATTCCCTGCCTGCTGGGCTGAGTGTGCCAGGACGATTTTGTGCAGCTTTTAAGCCCTTGTCCCTTTAAGACTTTAAAATATTGCCCACTTTTCTTTTGTCCCAGGGGAGCCAGCTGTGGGGACCTGCTTGCAGTCTCTGTCTCGGATTTTACTTTTCCATTTCTCTAATATCCAGTACACCATGCAATGTGTGTCTGTGCTCCCAGTGCAGATTAGTAGGGCTGGTTATTTAGGAGTCCTCTGCTTCCACTCCCTCCCCGCTCTGATTCTTTCCCTCATGCCGGTGAGCTGCGGTCAGGGGAGTGCTCAGGTCCCGCCGGGTCACAGCTTTGTATCTTATCCTTTTTGTGAGATGTAGATGTAGCCTGGCTGTTGTACTGTATCTTCTGGTCTCTCTTTTAGTAATAGTTCTATTTGGTGTATTTTCATAATATATATGGTTTTGGGAGGAGATCTCTGCTACCCTGTTCATGCTGCCATCCTGAGTTCCTCCCCTGCATCTTACTTCTTAATAAGGTTCTATTTTGTAAATAAAACTTGTGTTGTTTTACTTGCTTTTAAAAGTTTTAATCTTTATAATGTTCCTCTTGCAAGTACTTCTATTACAGTCTTGTGGTTCAATTCTCTTGAAATAAGTTGCTTATTATTTAAATTTCTTTTATACTGTAACCTTAAAACAATTCCTTGAAATATATTTGTTAGCCACATTTGTACCTAAAATGTATTAAGTCATTAAATTTTGAAATAAAATTAGATTATGCTTTATGTTTACTTTCATGCTGTGAAATATTTAATGATACAGTTTTTTCCGGATTAAATTTTGGGTAGTTACTATTTCAAAAATACATAGGCTAGTTGAAGAACGTATTTGTTTTCATAGATAGCATCGGTATAGGACGTAGAAATGTGTTGGTATCTTCTTTTTTGTTTAGATATAGAAAGTTCTGTGTTTATGTATATGTGATCTCCCTTCCTCTTGATCTGCTGCATGTGTTTCTGCTGGTAACTCAGAAAGGAAGAAGTTTGGATAAATTAAGTTTAGACCGTAGCTCCACAGTATTTTAAATATGTAAGAGACCTTCATGTTTAAGAATTAATTAGTAATTTGTTTTATTAATAAGCATCTTTACAGATTTGTATAGTGGTCCTAATTTAGTATCAATATAATATGTTAAACATGTTTGCTATCATTTTTGTTAATTTAAAAAAATTTAGGCTTAGTTTCTAAACGTAAGTCAGTGAAGGAGAAAATAAGTATATTTTTAGTTATACTTAATAGTTGTTCCATTGTGCAAAACAGAACAAGGATCATTTCCAAATGGCCTCAGGTGGAATCTAATGGGAAACAATTTCAAACTGGTCTGAATTCATTGGTGAAAAGAATTTGTCTAGATAAACATCTGATTTAAGTTATAGTACTCTGTAGTACTCTTTTTGTGATTTGCTTTTAGTTTTTTTATTTTAATAAATATGGTTGGCTTTGCTAGATGAAATAAGACCCTATTGTCTTTAGTGTGGATTTTATAAAAATCTTTTTTGCAGGTTATTTTGATTTATGAGTCTTAAACAGCCTTTTCTTTTTAAGGAATGTTAAAATTTTTTGTAAAGTGTTCTCCACAAAGAACATTTAGGTCGACATCAAATGCTTATGGAAAGGCATAATTTAAGCTAAAAGACTTGTTGCTCTTTAGTTTTCTTTTTAACTTTCATATTGTACTTTAATTTTTCTTACAGGAGAGTTCTGATCTCCCTGTTGCTCTGCTTTTGGCTCAACATAAAGATAGATCTACTCAGTTGGAAATGCAGCTTGAGAAACCTAAACCTATAAAACCAGTGACATTTTCCACAGGCATCAAAATGGTAAGCCTGTTTGAAAGATGTATTTCAAGGATTACACTTTATAACTTTATATTCATTTCTGCTTGTAATCAGGGAGGTTTAGAAGTTGAAGGACATTGTCTTAATCCAGGCTAGGTGTCTAGAAATGAATATATATAGTATAAGAGGAAAGTGAGAGTTAATAGTTTTCAGAGTACACAACATAATTCTGTTGTATATGATGCTGGGTTTGTATGTGTCTTCTTACTCTACATAGATTTTTAAGCTTGTATAGGAAAATGTTTCTTAAAAGAAAATGCAGGCTTCTGGTTTTTGGCATGACATATAAGAAGCTTGGAAGTTGCCATTCCACTGTAATAACAAATAAAAAGCTGAACACACTGAAAAATCAAGAATTTTTCTTAGATCTATAAGTGAAGAGAAGTCACTAGGCATACCATTGCCCTTAAAATTGGGGAGACTCATAGAGAATACAGTAAATGACAACTTATCAGAACAATAACCTTGCCAGGAACAGGTGTAGGGAAACTTGAGTTGTAATTGATGAATTGCTGGAGGCTCAATGTGGACAACTCTGAGAGTTAAAACTCGAAGGGGAACCTGAGTTTTACCTCTCACATCTCTACCGGGTTCTCTTAGTGAATATCGGAGAAAAGTCGTGTTGTGCTTTTGGCAGAGGAAGGTGAAAAGGAACCATTTTGAAATATGCAAGAGCATTATGTTCTTAACAAGGTCTGCCCTCAGCTTCAGGAGAAGTTATTTCACCAGAACCTAAACTGATGGAATTTTATCAGAGCCTAACTGATGTCGGGGTATGGGGATACCCAACTCCAGCTGCTCCAGACTTCCAGGCAGGAGAAGGGAAATACACAACTTCAGCCCACCCTAACCATCCTGCTGCATCTAAGTGGAAGGGGATGGACTGAGAAGCACCTGAGAAGGTCTCAGTCCAGAAACATAGGTTCTTAATCCAGAAACATTGTCTTAATCCAGGCTAGATGTCTAGAAAAGACTGAGACCTAATCACAGGACAATAAAATGTTCCCCCACAATCCTCTCATATCTTACCACCACATTACTAAAGCCTGTTTACAGTAGTTCATTTTACCCAGTGCATCATGCCTAGCTATCAAGAAAATATCACAAGACAAACTAAAGGCAAAAAACAGCTGGAAGAGACAAAGCAGGTGTCAGCATGTGGCTCAGATGTGGCAGGAATTTTGAAAGACATCTTGAGGGCACAGGGTACATATTTTAATGTTTTATGTGATTATAGGTATTGGCAGACCTGAATGATATAAAACATACACGATCTAATTTTAAACATACAAATGTAGGAAGTCTTAGGACATCTTCAAATACTTTAAAGAAAAGCACTACTCATTAGGGAATTACCAAAGCTTTTGATTTAAGGGGCAATATAGAGAAAAGACTTAGATGTAATGGGATTTAACTCCGCAGTCACCACTTCATAGATGTGTATCCATGGGTAAGATATTCCTTCATTCTTCCTGAGTTTGCTTCCTCATTAGTAAAGTAGATAGTAATTTTAGCTTTATATGCTTATTCAGAGAATTAAAATGTATGTATAAAATGTTAAACCAAGTGCAGCTGTAATGTTATCAGTAATGTTTATTGTTATTGTTATAGTAAATAACAGTGGATTGTAATTGCTTTACATTGTGTAATTAGGTAATTTGTTTAGGATTCTTGAATTTAAGGGAATTTTATGACAAATTATGCATTTTGATACTTCTATTAATCTGTGGTATTGCTGTGACATAGTTTTTGTTTCAAAGTTTTAAAAAATTTATTTTTTAATTTACATATAGTAAAGGTCATTCTTTATTATGTACAGGGTCTTGACAAATTCAGAGTTTGTATCTACCCCTGCAATCATGATACAGAGCTGTTCCATTACTTCTCAAAGGCCCCTTGTGCTACCCTTTCATAGTCTTGCACCTGCAACCTCCCTGGTGATCAGTGATTGGTTCTCTGTCCCTGTTTTGGATTTTCCATAATGTCATGTAAATGTGATCATACGGTATGCGGTCTTTTGTGTTTAGCTTTGTTAACTTAGCAGTACACATTTGAGATCATCTGTGTTCTTGCATGTGTTCATAGTTGTTCCTTTTTGTTGAGTAATGTACCATTGTATGAATATATCAATTTCTTCATCCATTCAGCAGTTGAAGGACATTTGGGTTGTTTCTTTTTTTTTTTTTTAATAATTATGAATAAAGCTGCTGTTAACATTTCCGTACAATTGTGTATGTACCTAAGTGTTCATTTCTCTTGGGTGAATACAGCTGACTTGTGAATAACATGGGTGTGATCTCCCTGAGTCCACTTAAATTTCAGTAAATAATTGGAGAATATATTGGAAAATTTTCTGGAGATTCGTGACATTTTGATGAAACATTTTCTTTAGCTTATTGTAAGAATATAGTATGTAATACATTATATAAAATAGACACTGTTAATGTTATCAGTAAGGCTTCTGGTTACTTGTATGCTATTAATAGTTAAGTTTCTGGGGAGTCAGAAGTTATACTTTTATGGATTTTCAACTGTGCAGGAAGTTGGTGCCCCTAGCTCCTGTGTGTTTTAAGGGTCAATTTGTACTAAGAATGAGATTGGTGATTTGTAAGGTAAAGGTATGTTAGTTTTATAAGACACTGTTTTTCAAAGTTTTTTGAAGTGCCTGTGCAATTTGTATTCCTACCAACATTGTATGAGTGTTCTTGTTCATCCAGTCCTTGCCAGCACTCAATATTATGTTTTAAAAATATTTTAGGCATTCTCAACAGTTGCGTAATGGTATCTCATTATGGTTTTAATTTGCACTTCCCTAAAGATGAATGATGTTCAGTATCTCTTCATATGCTTATTTGCCATCAGTATTTCATTTGGCCTTAGCATTTAACTTAATATTAGATGCCTAAACAAATAGTTATGACCTTATTTTTTCATTTTCTTCCTTCTTTTCTTTGTCCCTCTCTTATAACCTTTTGTGAAATGTAATGTATGTACACAAAAGTACACAGAACCAAATCATATGGCTTAGTGAATTATCACAAAAAGAATGTCTGTGTAACCATCACATAGCTAAAAGAAAAAAAGTATTGTGAATTCTCAAGCAGCCCTCCTCATAACCCCTCATGCCTGGTCAGTACCCCATTCATTTTTCCCAAAATAGTTACTCTTCTGTCTTTTATGGCATTCCCTATGTTGCTCTTAAATAGCTTTAACTTTGAAGCATGTATGCCTTAACCTAATTTATGTTTTGCCTGGCTGCATTATATTTGTGAAATTCACCCATGTTTTTGAAGATAGCTGCAGGTGTTTTCACTTCACTGCTGAATGTTGTAGCCTTGGAGGAGTGTGCTACTGTTCATCCATTCTGCTGTTGAGTGATGTTTGGATTCCTTTGAGTTTTTGATATTACAAACTATGCTAACATTTTTATGTAGGTTTTTTGGTGCACATGTAAATACAGTTTTTGGTGGCTATTTACCTAACAGTAGAGTTACTAGGTCATAGTAAATATGTATGCTCACTTTAGAAGATACCAAAATCGTTTTCCAAAGTGATTTTTGCCAACTGTATTCCTAACAGCAGTGTTCTTGTTATTCCACATTCTTGCTAACTCTTGTGATTTTCTGTCTTTCCTAGTTTAACTGTTCTGGTGGGTATTTAGTAGTGTTTTGTGATTTTAATCTGCATATTATTTCACTGATCGCTAATGAGGTTGAGCATTGGCTGTCCTATTTTGTGAAATGCCTATTCAGGACTTGTTCATGTGGAGTTCTTTATATGATCTAAGCTTTTTATTAGTCATATGTGTTGTATATAACTTTTGTCATTCTGTGGCTTTTCTCCACTCTTTAAAGGTTGTCTTTTTATGTCTTTATTGTTTTGCTTCTCTAATATCCACCTGGAATTGATTTTTTTTGGTATGATGTGAGGTAGGTGATTCAATTACTTTAATTCCTGTTAGATTCATACAACTTAAGTGTGTGATGAAATACTTATTATTGTTGTTTATTATTATATCAATTATTTGGGTCAAGAGGAAGGTGAAAACTTAAAATGATAGAGTTTTTATATAGATTTATTAATATTACAGAGTGTGAAGACTGACACATGGATGAAAATCTAAATGTTTATGAAGTTAAATATCTTTATAGTTTTTGGAAAAAGTAATCCTAAAATGCAGGATGTAAAGTAACATTTATTGAGCACCTATATCCTAGGGGTTGATTTCATTGAACAAATACGTTGGCATGGATGCCAACATTGCTTAAGACTTTGTGACCTGCAATAGCTCCTTTCAGTAAAAGGGGTCTTTTTTTGTTTTTCTGTCTCCATGAAATAGAAGATTCTACTATTTTTGCAGATGTGAAAACTGAGTCTAAGGTTAGATCACATATAAAAGATGACATTTAAACTCATTCTCTTTCATTTATAGTTCATTACTTAATTATGAGAATTGCCAGTAACAAAACTTATAAATTCTACTTTAGGTGTCTTTCTGATTTGAAGAAAGCTAGGATTGGGAAGAGCTAGGATTGGAGCTATTGCTTAATAGTGAGCTGACAGTATGGACTTGGGTAATCTAAGGCACAGCAGTCAGCACAATGATCTTTCTTTTCCTGATCTGCTCTACTTAAAGAAAGTCAGCTGCAGCAAATGAAGTCAGATATGCTGAATTTGGAGAGTCCAAGTGCTTTGCCAATGGGTTTCAGCTCCCGGCAAGTTCACTATGGATTCAGTGTGACCAAAGAAATGACAGTAGAATGTTCTTGGGGTGAAAGGGTTATACCCAACTTTATTTCCACGGTAGCAGGTCAATCACTAGAATCCCATTCACTCAGCAAGTCTGCATGCAGCAAGCCGGTCTCTACCTCTGAGACTCTCTGCCTGCACAACCACCCCAATTTCTGTCCTCGGCACTGCCATGACTCCAACCTCTGCTGTGCTCTCCTGCTGCCTTATAGCCATGCCACTGTGTCACCCAG